GTTAGCTTAGTATTTATTTTCTTTTTCCGTATTTTGAGTTTTATTCTTGTCATACTTTAATACGCCAAAAGGAGGCGCTGCAATACAGGAAAATATGTAGAAAACTGCCTTAGATTGCACATCTTGTGCAAATGTCACAGTTAAAACATATTAAATCATCCACTGTGTCCATATCAGTTTCCATATGACATTACTTGGTTATAGAACTTTTATTATGGCCTTCTTTCTGAATGAACTGGAACTGTAACCCAATATGAACAGTTCTGTGGAAAAGTTTTAAAACACCCATTAGTTGGCTGTGGCTCTATGTTATTTATTTCTCAAGAAAACAGACATTTTTTTGTGTATGCTATATATGACTTTGCTTTTATTTTTTATTCCCTCAGGATGCTGAGATTGTTCGGACCAGGGATCCAGCCCTCTTGGCAGAATGTGACATTGTTGTAGATGTTGGAGGAGAATTTGATCCAAAGAGGCACCGTTATGACCATCATCAGAGGTACATGTCTGGCAGTAGTTAATCAAAAAGAAAATACATGTATTGTTTGTATTTTCAATATTTGAAAGTAGACTGTTATGCTAATCATTTTACAGATTTGTGAACAATAAAAAAATTTTTCTGTAATTTGTCCAAAWAGTTTCCACCACAGTAAAGACTACTCTTCCTGGGGTCCAACAAAACATAAAAACACCTTAAAACAAATTAATTAATACAACCCAAAACACTTCAAAACAAAACAACACAAAAAGACAAAAAAAATGCTCAATCATATAACATTTTTTAAGATCACAGACTTTTTAAAACTACTTTTGAATCTAACATAACTATGGATACCTGTTGTATCATTTAAGCTTAAAAAGTGAGACAATTTGTGTAGTGTAAATTAAAAAATGCAATGAATTGCTGTTAATTTGCTGTATTTTACTAACAATATTCTACATTTCAAAAATAAAAACAATTTTATTATTTGAAACTGTTTTTACTCCTTTTCTTTTTACTCAGGCAGGTTTTGCAAACTGATGAAAGTGCTAATTTTTGCCTGATTTGCTGATTTCAGCTTCTGAACATTTCAAGACCACCTAATAGTTATTTTTAGGTGTTAATAGAAAAAGCATTATTTAGGAATTACGTACGTTTAGATGTGAGCAAGATTGTGCAGAATGGGAAAATAATGTCCCTCTTTGTTTTTGCTTTGATGTTAGGAACAGGTTTTGTGTTTTCCTAACAAGGTTTCTTAGGAAYGATTGCTCTGGAAGTCTCATCACGTTGAGCAATCAGCCCATTCCAGGCGTCTTGTCTTYAGTTCTAATGACAATCAGAAAAGGCGTTCATGGACACAGTGACAAAGATGCATCAGGGCTCTCTTCCTGGCAGGAAGTTAGTGATAATTAGCACTCCTTCAGTTGAGCAGCCCCCTGCTGGTGGTGCACGAGGTACAGAGGCTGCCTTGACAGGCAGAGGCCACAGGAGAATGTGGCTGTCACTCACATGCACTCATGATTATGATAGAAAGAAAAGATCTAARTGGCAGAAGGAATTTGGAAAAAAAGACACGTGATGTAGAAGCACAAACTGGAAAAAAAAAGAAACATGCAAAACTGTGTTGTTGATGAGACTAACCTTTTATTAATCAGTTTAGTTATCTTTGTGCTCCACGTTCTCATTTGTCATGCTGTGAAAAKCAGAACTGTGCTTCGTTCTTCAAACAAATAAGAGCAAACTARCATATATCTGTTGAATCTATTGGTAAAACCTGAAGCAACGTTTTCTCATTTTTATCTTTTTAAGATGTGAGCATATTTCATTTGTCTTTAGAACCAAAAAAAAATTTTTTTAAGAGTTTTACCTTCAAATATTTTGTTGCATAGTTTGTACATTTTTAGTAAAACAGAAATAAGTTATCACGTTTTTAAAGAAAATCTGCCGTCAAATATAAGTCAAAAACATAAACTGAACACTTATCTGCACATTTTTACTAAAAGACAAMTCCTAATTTGACAAAACATTGCAAACGCAAAAGCCATCAAGCTTTAAAGGTTTTTAAACAAGAAAAAAGTGACTGCAAGGAGGAAAGAAATGTTTTCCAAACACCAWCTGAAGGTAATAAAACACATTGAATTAAATCAAGTAGTAATTAGGACTGTTCTCACTCCCTGTGGAAATAAACTCTCTGCTCTCTCTCWGTAAATACATAAAATCAGATCAATTTACTGGCAAATAGGCAATTTGTGGTCCCCTAATCCCTGAGATGAAGGACTTACACCTTTTTAAACCTTTTAAATAKTTGATGTCATGTGGTTCTCTTATGACTTTACACATCAGCTTGAAAATAATTATTCATAAAGAAGTGGGTTTAAAGTTGTGGCTGCTTGTTAATGTTGAAAATCCTGGAAACAGGAAATACCAGGTTTGGTTTCTGTTTTTAGCACTTTATTTGAAAAAAGTTGAATTTTAAAAGTTGTGAAAGTCTAAGAAGTTGTTTCTTTCTGCACATCTTGTTTTTATACTCATTAGAAAAAKAACTGGATGTTATGTTCATGATGCAGGACTTTGCACATGCAGCATTTTGAATTTAATGGGATCATTCCTTCTAATGAATAGAAACATTAAGCGGAGCATTTTGTGCACACGTGTGTGTATAACATTTATTCAGAATGTCTTTCCTGCCAAAATGTTCCCATCTTTTTTGCCTAATGCCTGAATACTTCTGTTTGGCTAATAGAAATATGCGTTGCATTCTCCATTTTCATTTGTACATTTTTTGTCGTCTCTCACTCACTCACTTATCCTGATTATCAGCATAGAAATGTCAGGGCTCAGCCAATTAGCTGTTTAATTGCTGTGATTGCCCCCTGCCTCAGTAGCGTGTCACTCATTCATTTGACGGTCTGATTTCTGCTGCGCTGTAGCCCGAGCTTCCTAATTACTGCTGAATTAAATGACCGGCAGCGCTGGAGTCCTCCCAACTCAGCGTGTGTTTGAGGGGAGACCTGCAGTGTTTCTGTGTGCTCACGCTTACAGACACGATGCATAAATGTTCGTGTTTATACAGTTTTATATAATGGTCAAGATCTGACTTTTTTTTTCTTTTTGCTATTCTCTAAACGTCCAGTCATAGAAAAAGCATATTTTCATCTCTAAGTTGTTTTTTTTCTTTATCATGACATGATTGGGGAAAAAAAACAGTTTTGTTCTTTCAAAGTCCTAAAGTAAAACTAATTCATTGTTCAGTAAGCAGCACATAACATTTATTTAACAAAAATCTAAGCCTACTATTTATATATTTATTTTTTGCTATTATAGACTCAACCACTTTTCCCTTTTGTTGTCAATTGACAAGTACTTCACAAACTACTACTAATTAAAAAACAATACAGTGTTTATATATATTTATTTTTTGCTGTTATAGACTCAACCACTTTTTCCTTTTGTTGTCAATTGACAAGTACTTCACAAACTACTACTAATTAAAAAACAAWACAGTGTTTATATGGCTAATGTTGCCTTATCTAAATGATCTTTTTTTGTAACAAACATCATTTTTTTAAATYTTATCAGGACGTTTGCAGAAAGTTTCCAAAGTCTGTGTCCAGAGAAGCCGTGGGTGACTAAGCTCAGCTCTGCCGGCCTGGTCTACCTCCACTTTGGTCGTCGCCTCCTGAGCCAGCTGACGAAGCTGAAGGAGGACGACAAGCAGCTGGAGGTTCTTTTTGACAAGGTGAGTGGTGATGATAACTGATTTATGGCAGGTTATGTGGATTACCACTGATTGTGTTTTATTAACAAAACAAACAATCCATTGGAACCGGAATTTTTCCAAAGTTTRTCCTTGTGTAAACTGGTGACCTAAACAAGAACAATGTCTAATTTATCTGTAATTGTTTTTACGTGAAAGCTAACCAACTCCTAAGAAAATAATAAAAAAAATACATTTATGTCTTAATAAAACAGCTAAAACATAAAAAAATAAAATCATGACTGTAAAAAGTGCAGAATATTTGTTATTTATGGTTTAATTCTTTGCATTTTGCCTGCTTCCTAAAGTTAACAGTAAGAAGTGATGATTCAGGCTTTTACATTTAATCCTTTTCATACATCTGAGACAACAAAGGGTCATGGTCTCTCTGCATTCTAAAGACCAGGCAATTTAAGCTAGGCAAGCCTGAGGTCAGCATAAAGACTAATGTAGTTAGTTTATAGCATCTTCATTCTTTTGATGTGTCAGTGTGTTTAAAGCTGCAAGTAATCCTTTTGCCMACAGCTGAGGTGTTATTTATTTTATGTTTCATGTCTTGTCCACGGTTAGTTCAGACACTGAACCTCAATTTTTACCCCAAAGCTTAGTTCCACTTGCGGGCTATTTGTAAAATGTCAGCTCTTCGGTGACTGACCTTCTGATGTTCTTAGGAGGAGTTGACTTTTCAGCTCTAAACGTGCCTCTGCTCCTCTGTGGCTGTCCTTTATAATTGTGCAAGTTACCTGGACTGTTGCAGCTTTTTWWWTTTTTTTTACAATTTCTTTTAGGCTAAAGTTTAATCACTAAACTGTAATTACTGCACATATTTTTACACCATGATAAACTTGATATTCTTTAGAATTTTATGAGACTAAAACTTGACTTTATGTTCAAAATGTGTGTAAACGAGAATGCACGTTCACATCCAATGATGCCGCGYGTCTCTCTTGGTCTCTCGCAGCTTTATGAGAACTTTGTGGAGGAGGTGGACGCTATAGACAACGGTATCTCTCAGTTTGATGGGGAGCCACGTTACGCTGTGTCCACCACGCTGAGCTCACGTGTCGGGCACCTGAATCCTGCGTGGAACAGCAAGAGTCAGGACACAGAGGTGAGCGCACGTTGGAAAGCACCTGTCRTCTCAAACTGTGGGAGTTGTCAGATACTAAATAAGGTTAACAGATTATTACCAGCTTGCTGCATCATTTAATCTGATGACTCGTTTACAGTTTTCATTGTCGAAACATAAAAACGCTGAAGCGATTTTCAGTTTCAAACTTTGACTTATTCTTGTTAAACTGGCTCCTCCTCAGAATCATTTTGAATTTGAACACGCATGACYGAATTATTCCATTATAACAATCCATCATGTCTGTGTAACGTGGAGCCACAGAAGCAGTTTGAAGGGTTGCAGGTTTGCTTCAAATGGAGGTACATAATGAAAGTGAAGGAGGGCACCAATTTACATATTTATAGATCCATGCATGCTAAATGAAGCTAAGGAGTTCCATGTAGAGCATTTAAAACATAAAGGGATTTCTTTCATGCTAGAAAATATGTTTTTGTATGTTCTATTGATGAAAAGTAATTTGCTTTTTGGAATTAGTTAATAAAAGAACATTAGTCTGTAGGRGCTAAAAATGATACAAAATAAAATTATTTTATATGCTTTAACACAATGAGAACATGAACATCTATTGGGTGTCTTAAATTTCCATTATTATTGATGAATAATCTGTCACCTTTGAACATTCTGGTCTGAACCGCCTGAAGCATTTTGGGTTTTTCAGTTGAATATTTGATTCAAAGCTTTTTTGCGCTGAAGGGTCTCTGCATAAAATAAAATTCAGTTCCCACACAATGATTGAGCTGAAGCAAAAGCAAAGGTACAAAGTGGGTTAAAAGTGTGACTAACAAACAAGGTGCAGAGCAATTAATATTTAAAGGTTCATTTTAGAGCTGCACAGAAACAACAGAGGCTCTTTGTGACCCAGTGTCTCTTTTATGTCTCGTTAGTGGAGGATAGGATTCTTAAGAACACAGCACCTGTTTTCAGAAAACTCTCAGGGGACAGGAGCGGCTCAGCTTTACAAATATGTTGACTGGGCCCAGATTTTATTTTTTTCCATTGTTGTGGCTCTCATGGGAACGGCTGGCCTATTTGATTTTTTTTCTCCACATTTTTTACGAGATTATTATTCTTGTTTTGACACTTTCTTCCTATTTTCTCACTAACCGATGCTTCTGGCTACAGAAAACTGAGATAGATTTCTGGTAGACTGACCTGTAACCTGTCAGCAGCGTCTGTTTGTGATAATTGAAAAGTCTAATGGATTCTCATCTACTCCATCCACGACTGCTAAAACCCAGGGCCACTTCAACCTCTTTATTCACATGAAAACAGATTAGAGCTCTGCCTGTCACACTATGAGAGTGGTTCTGTGCCTGTGTGTGTGTGGGGTTCTCTTGGTCAGACTCTCCAGGCGTTCTCCTCATTAGGACACCAGAGACCAAAGTCTCACCAGGTTTTGTTCAGAAGATGATGGTACACCAGGGCTTTGATGATCAGTGGGGAAATGGCTTGATTTTAACATCCCTTTCTTGAAAATATACAAAGATTTAAACCAAGTACTTTTTGGTAACGTTCCTTTTGTAGGACATCTAATGAAGTGTTAGGCAAAATTGTATTAATCATCAGAGTAACAGTCACCGACTAATATTTGGCACTTTGCCGTTACTGTGATTAGTAATAAGTCATTGCACAGAGCTAATGCTAAGCTAACATTAACGTCCCATATTTCCACGGACCAGCATCWGAAAAACTGTCAAATGGTCAAATAACTGTCACTGATTAATATTTGGCACTTGGTCATGACCTTGATTACTGATTTATGTTGGGGTGAATTCACACCAGCYCTGTTTAGTCTGATTTAATCAAAGTCTAGTTCGTTTGCCTAGGAAGTCCGGTTTGTTTGGGGAGGTGTGAATTCTTAATCGAACTCTGATGTGGATGAAAAAAGCGAACTCTAGTCTTCCTGAAAACCCAAATCTGGTGTGATTTGACTGCATATGTGAACGCCAAGCGGACCGAAGCCGCTCCAAAAGCAGGAAGCGGACTATACCGCAGTGGATTCTGAGTAATAACAGTAATAAAGTTACTCATACAGTATCTAATAAATACCTTGCTAGACGTCTTTATTAGGTGGACATCACTGCTGTGAAGTTGGACGCGCTCCTACTCGGTGAAAGCTGTCTCATACGGAGCCATATCAGCCGCCTTGTATAAAAAAAAAAAAAACAACATGCTCCATGGTTCTGCCTCACCTTCTCTTATGCTGAGTCCATTGTCGAAGATTGTTTGGCACATTTGCCAAATAAAAAATTAATCCTACAACCACTAAAATCTGACGTTACTCCATGTTTGTTTACATTTTTTGAAGGAGGAAGTTGAGCTCAGTGTCTTCTTTAGAGGTCTTTGTGTCGATTTCTTCAGTGGGGTGCAGCGACACCACAGGCGAGGGGGGTGGGGGACAGCTTGTTCACATGGTTTTGTTTTGGTTGACAAAGTGCAGTGTGAATGTGAATCGCACCAACTGAAAATGTAAACAAATCTTGCGTTTTGGTCCCGAATTGAACTGAGACTATCAGGCATGAATACGACCTAAGTCAGTGTGGTGAGCCGCTGATGCTAATGGTGGCGAAATGCTAACACACGGAACTTGTTTAATCACTTGAAACACCTTAAACTGGAGGAAAGCTAGAGAATGTGGACTGAGGCCACAGTGTCAGCTACAGCAAACGCTCCTCCAATGAACGGTGGAAACAAATCTACGCAGCCGAGAATCCACGATGCACTTAGTCTGTCACTTATGAGCAGCAAAATAAGTGCTGGAAAGAGATTAYGGGGCATGGCTTTTAAAATGAAGAAGTTAATTTGATTATTTGTATAAATATAAGTATAATTTTAGAACACTGGGTAAATGATTTAGAGTCAAAAGCGTACAAGTGCAGTTGTCATCTATTAATCGTCATATAATCATTATTGGCCAAATGCCACTATTAATGTTGATTCTTTTTTGTTGCCAGGAAAATCAGCTGTCAAAAACTTAACTGAATCCAGTTTAACTCCTATTTTTGTACTCCTATGACTAAAATTCGTTTTCATTTTATCACCAGGAGGGTTTCAGAAAGGCTCTGAAGATGGTTGGGGATGAGTTCCTGGACCGTCTGGATTTTTTCAGCTCATCCTGGCTGCCGGCTCGGGAGGTTGTAAAGGAAGCAGTCATGGGGAGACATCAGGTAACAGGGTTGTGTGTAGTATTGTTTTTATTTATTTATTTTCTAGTTTACAGTTTCTCTTAGAATATTGAAAACACTGACCTCAAATGTCAAAGCTGTTCCCAGTGAAACAATCAGACTTTTTTAAATAGTTTGATTTTTGGTGATTTGTTTCACATCAATAATCTGATCAGGTCAGTGTTACTAATAATAGCTCCCTATGTAATTTGTGACATCAGCAAATACTAGATGTCAGTCAAGCTGAACTTTAACTCTGTGCAGTGCTGGAGTCGTGTTTTGTGCTGACAACAAACAGCATAAGAAAAGTATCAGTGATGTATTGTTGCTACAGGACCTGCTGACAAGAATCAAATGTGAGATACTTGGTTTTGGACATTTTCAAAGCCGATTACTTGGAGAGAAATGTTGTTGTTGGATCTGACTCTGTGGCTGAGTTGCCTTCAAACTGCCTGTTTGTGTTGTAACATGCCAGGCGCAGTATKCAGTAGGAGTAGCAGTAGTACTAGTGAATCAAGTTAAATATCAAATCTTACTATTTATGTATAAAATACGTTACAACTTGTTACCTAAACATCTTAAGGAAATGTTTTATGAAGGGGAGGGTGGGTACAACTTAAGAGGAACACTGGATTTCAAAATATGTAGTACCTGAACAACTATGAAAATATTTTGTMTCACTGTAACTGGGGTCAAACTATGGAATGAACTAAATATATAACTAAAACAATGTCCAAGCATAAACCAGTTTAAAAATAAACATAAAGCTACTTTACTTACATTGTACAGAAGAGAATGGATTTAACATAAATATGAGGTTTTTTTTTGTTCCTTTCATTCTTCTGTATTAGGTTACTATTATCATTATTGATATTGGTTTTCTTACTATCATTATAATCATTAGTTGTTGTTGTTGTTTTTCTCGGTGGTCATTTAAGATAGTCATCATTGTTATGTTTTTGTTATTATTATTAATATGAAATCATACATTTTCTTTTTTTCCTATCTTATAAGAGTGAGTTTGTAATCATTTTGTCTGTGTAGTAATTTATTTGTTGGCACAGTATGTTGAACAGGCAAGAATACCATAACATGGTTTCAGTTGCACATTTGTAAATCAGTGCATCTGCAAGTAAAACACTTCATTAAATTGAGATAAGAGGTAGGATTAAATAAGTGTTCACTTCTTCCTACTCC